GACCCCCATTGTGTTTCAAGGTGGTAAATCTTTACAAGAGTAGATTGCCCCACCTTCCTTCCATGGAGTAGCTGGTAGGTTTGAACTGCCAACCTTCTGCTATGCTTTAGGCACTAGGCCACCAGAGCTCCTTTGAGTATCCCTTAACAAAACAAACAAACCCACTGTCATCCAGTCGATTTTGAGTCATAGTGACCCCCACTGGGTTTCCAAGGTGGTAAATCTTTATGGAAGTAGATTGCCTCATCTTCCTCCTACAGAGTGGCTGGTGGGTTTAAACTGGTGACCTTCTGGTTAGCAGCCAACTGTTTTATGCACTGTGCCACCAGAGCTCTCTATGCTGTATATAAGATTGTCCTGATTTGTATAACTGAAGTAGCCTGTTCTGACAACACCAGCAAATTCTAGTAGTACTCACTACTGTTCTTTACCTGACTTAACTTGTTTAATCCTAACAACATCTTATGATGTACATTGATTTATTGATTATTTATATTTATTTATGATCCTATTTATTGTCCTATATTATTTATGAATTAACTAAGGCAAAGATACATTATATAATCTGTTCAATGCCACGTAGCTAGTAAATGGCATTTTGGCAGAGCCAAATTCCAACTCTAGAATTCTGACTGCAGAGCCTGTGCATTTAATCCCACACTGAGAGGCCTCCAAGTAGGCAGAGTTCAAACATCAGAATGCAGCCAACCTTGGGAGGCAGGGAAGGACTGATAACAGAGTGGGAAACATCTGCTTTCAAGAAAGAGTCTTTCCCTCTGGGTCCATTAGCATGAGAAATGACATTAATCTTTACTGCCAAGATGGAACTGATAAGCACAAAAGCCATGACAATTACAAAACCAAGAAGTTCCCCCAAGCTGGGGATTCTTAAATCACATTGAAGGGTGCATTGATAGGCATTTACTATGTCTTCACTCTAGTTACTGAGAGAGTTTTGGAGAGTCTTCTAATCAGTTCAGAAGTCAGAATTTCCTTAAAACCTCTCAAAGCATCTAGATCTGTATTACTGCTTCAAATACTTCAAAAATTAAAAACAAGTTTCCAAACAAAAATTGGTTAATTACTGTTTGCTAAGAGATGACACAGTGCCTAAGGCATTTGACTGCTAACCAGAAGGTTGGCAGCTCAAACCCACCAACCACCCCAGAAGGAAGTTTGGGCAATCTATTTCCAGAAAGATTTACTGCCTTGGAACCCCTGTGGGGTCGCTATGACTCAAAATTGACTGGATGGCAGTGGGTTAGTTTGTATGTTTGTTTTGTTAAGGGATCCTCAAAGGAGAGCTGGTGGCCTAGTGCCTTAGGCACACCAGCAGGTCGGCAGTTCAAACCACCAGCTGCTCCATGGGAGGAAGATGGAGCAATCTGCTCTTGGAAAGATTTACCACCTTGGAAACACAATGGGGGTTGCTATATGAGTCAAAATCAACTGGATGACAGTGAGCTTGGGTTGTTTTTTTTTTTTTTTTTTTTTTTTTTTTTTTTTTTTTGGTTTAAGAGATCCTTAGAGACCAGATAACTGAAACATCACCTAAAATCTTGGCCATCCAGGGATATGCTCATGTACAGGTTCACTTGCTACAGTATACACAGCCTCAACATCTACAAACAAATGCAATTTGTTTTGTAGATCACAACAATTAAGGACAAAGATTGAGAAACCAAGCAACCACATTTATCATTCATTAAACAGTGCCAAACTTAAGACAAGGAGCTCTGGTGGGGTAGTGCTTAAGGCATTTGACTGCTAGCCAGAAGGCTAGTGGTTCAAACCCACACTCCTTGGAAGGAAGACTAGGCATTCTACTTCTGTAGAGAAACTGCCTCAGAAACCCAAGGAGGGGTCACTATGAGTCGAAATCAACTTGATGGCAGTGAATAACTTAAGACAATACACATGAAACAAGAGTGATTAGATCTGTTGCCTTCAGTTTCCTAATTATATAAAAATTTTGTGCTTAATTAACCAAATTTTATTTTGAAGATGCTAAGGAGCTCTGGTAGCGTAGTGCCTAAGGCACTTGACTGCTAACCAGAAGGCTGGAGGTTCAAATCCACTAGCCACTCCTCGGAAGGAAGATGGGGCAATCTTCTTCCATAGTGATACTGCCTCGGAAACCCAAGGAGGGGTCTCTATGAGTCGGGTCCGACTTGATGGCACATAACAACAACAACAACAATTTTGCTTTACAGTAAGAATTTTCCATACTCACTGCTGACTAGTTGATTCCAACTCATTGCGACCACCCCTCCTTGGGTTTCTGAGGGTGTATCTCTACAGAAATAGATTGCCCAGTCTTCCTTCCAAGGAGTGGTTGGTGGGTTTGAGCTGCCAGCCTTCTGGTTAGCAGTCAAATGCCTTAGGTACTATGCCATCAGACCTCCCATAACTGTTTAAAAAGGTATTTTCATTGTAATGTTTCTGACAGTAGTCATGTCGAATAGTTTCTAAGAATTCTAATAGTTTGTTTTTTGTGTTACTAGTGGTTCCCCTTCTGCTGCTGGCCTGTGACTGTGGGATGGGTCCCATAGGGGGAGTGACAGGTGGATTTATCCCAGTTCCTGATGGTTCAGAAGGAACTATTCATCAGTGGAAAATTGAAGGAGCCCAACCTGAAGACAAAGTGAGTGTCCAGTTGGTAAAATATTTATTTCAATCATATTGAAAATATTTAAATGTATATTGCAATAGGAAAAAGGGGCAAAGGGGAATTAAAACAAGAGACATTTTGATGTTCACGTTCAGAGTCAATGCTGAAATGGATGTAGCCTTTTAGAATTTTAGCCATTTAGTTTTTATGTCAAAGCATAGCAATTGTTACTTTTAGAGGATTTGAGCTTCTTTTAATCTCACCATTTGCAAAGGTCCACATTTCACCTATATTGCCAGGAGATCTGATTCACTTTAAAATATATTTGTTTTTTTGGACATGATTTGCAGGAAATCACAAATATTTGTGTGCCTCCGATAATAGCCAATGGAACTGAATTCATGGAAAACTCTGGTAAGTGAATATCAAATTTATTTTTGAAAGCAAAAATGAGTTAAATAAGAAGTATTCAAAAATAGCCAGTGCTTGAAATATGTAAATAATAATAATAATAATTCACGTATGTGTACATGTTGTTGTTGTTGTTATGTGCCATCAAGTTGGACCTGACTCGTAACGACCCCTCCTTGGGTTTCTGAGGCAGTATCACTATGGAAGTAGATTGCCCAACCTTCCTTCTGAAGAGTGACTGGTGGGTTTGAAGCTCCAGCCTACTGGTTAGTAGTCAAGTGCTTTAGGCACTATGCTACCAGAGCTCAGGAAAAGTTACCACTGAAATATGTTTGATAATCAATCACCTATCATTCAATTCCATGATATATGTCTGGCTTCAACAAATTAATTTGTCCACTGATGCCACATTTTTAATATCTGAAGAAACTACAGAAAAACAAACTCACTGCCATCGAGTCAAATCCAACTCATAGCGCCCCTTCCTTGGGTTTCTGAGACGCTATCTCTATGGAAGTAGATTGCCCAGTTATTGTAATTTGTCATACTTTAATAAATTGGTATACGGCTCTCAGGGAGTCAATTACTGATACTTTAATTGAGAAAGATTTCACACACATGTTGAATTGACTGTGACTCATGGTGACCTTCTGTAGAACAGAATATTACCAGTCCTGTACCACCTTCAGCCCTGTGTCACACAGTATCCTATTGTGGTCCATAAGGTTTTCATTGGCTAATTTTCAGAAGTAGATCACCAGGTTTTTTCTTCCTAGTCTGTCTTAGTCTGGACATTCCACTAAAATATGTCCATCATGGGTGGTCCTGCTGGTATTTGAAATATTGGTGGTGTATCATCCAGCATCATTGTTCTGGTTCCCTAGTGCTGCTCTGACAAGAAATACACCACAAATGGGATGGTCCTAACAAACAGGAGCTTATTCTTACAATTTGGAGGCTTTAAGTCCAAGTTCAAAGCTCCAGGCTCTAGGGGCTGGGTGAAAGCCCCTCAACCATGGCCCACTGGAGCTAGAGGCATTTCTTCACTCAGACAGCTGTTGGCTGCTGAGGCTGAGAAGTCCCAAGGTTGACAAGTAAAAAGGCACAGTCCGGATGTTACCAGTCCACACGGCAGGCCATTAACTTAAGTCCATTGTAAGTTCCAAGGTCAGCAAAGCATAGCAGGCTGCTGAGCAACGACATGGCTACATGCATGGTCCAAGCATGCCATAGGCTAAAGACCATTCTCAAAGCTTCTCCTTATATACCCGAAGGCAGCTACTCAGCTGCCCATAGTAGATTCCACCATGGAATTACCAGTCTCATCATGGGGAATACTACATCCAGCTGCCCAGCCACTCAACCAGACCTAGCCAAGTTGACATACAAACATAACCACCACAATCATAATAATGTGAAAGTCACCATAGCACAACAAATATAGAGAAGTGGTGGTTCACATATGTGGAAAATATAACAAACATCTATGTACCTACTACCCAGCTTTGTCTATTCTTAACTTTTCGTCATATTTGCAGTTAAAGCCTCATATGTAAACATCCTCAATCCTGTTCTCCTTCTTCCTCACCAAAAAGTAACAGTACCCTGATTTGTATTCAATTACTATTTCTTGTGTTCAACCATAATGAAGCAAGATCTCTTATGTTACCATAAGAGATTTACCATTCATAGGTAAATTTTCTTACTTCTTTGGTTTTTACCATGTGGATTTTTTTTGTTCATGTAAACCACAATGCCACAACTAAGGTATAAGCCAGATAGACAATAAGGATTGGTGCCTAATTTTAAGATTTTACTTAATTCTATACTAAGCAGTTGATTGATTTTTAATGTCCAAACTGCAAGATCAACATAAATTCTCACCAAATATGCACAGCCTGTGTTTGTCAGCTACCTCAATTCTCATCTGTTTCTCCCACTATAATAAACCACACACTTACAACGAGTAATATATTCAGAATTCTTTAGAAAATATCACTTTCCATGAAAGTATAATATAAAGCTAACAGGAAGAAGAGTCATAGTTCGTTATATTTTCTTTAGGCACCTAGGCACCAAATTAGCATCTACTACTTTGCATGATGACATTGTATGTTTTCTCTTTGGTTTCCATATTCACCCAATATGACTGTTATGCTTAATTACAATTTCTTTTTTCATGGAAACAATCAAGCAATCACGGCAATAAGCTTTCCATGGTTGTTTGTTGAATATTCTGTTTTCACTTTTCCATTTTTGGCAGTAGTCACTGAAAATCTATTTCCTTTGCACATTTTATCAATTAATGTCTCTTCTGAGCCTTCTTATCTACCAACACTCCCTCCCTATTACTCTCACATAACAGAGAGTGGGGTATCCTTATCGCCTCAAGTCATATAATTGTATATTCTCCCACTTACTTTACTTGACAACTACTCATGGGTATCAAAGACCGCTTAAAAAACTGCAACAAATCCCAGCATGAATGGTTATAGAATCTTCTCCCCTGATTTCAGAAGTTTGTACAAACACATATGCAGCAGGGACAGTGGGAGAAGGAGCTTCAGGAATAGAACTGACCACAAAGCTTGGAGCAGCCACGGGATCTGGAGTTGCAGGGGGCTTTACAACAGGAACCATCTGTGGAGGTGCTGCGGGTCTTGGCCCCTGCTCTGCAGGACTTTCTGGAACACTGAGAACGAGGCATTCCACAGGAGGAACCAATAGGGACCATGCAGAAGGAGCAGTGAACATGAATTTCTTGGACTCCTACTTTTCTCAGGTAATCTGGTGGAAAACTTTATGACTTCATTTTCTTGTTTACACAGAGATTGTTTTGTTCTGTTTACTATATGTCAGTGTTGCAGTTCATTCTTATAGTGTGTTAAAATGTAAGAAAAAAATGTTTTATTTCTGCCAAAACAATACGTATACATTATTATTATTGTTGCACATATTGGTATGTTATTATAATTAGACAGCCTCAGGTGGCTGCCAAAGTTGTGTCAGTGTTCAAAAGGACAAGTGGGTAGATTGACATGGCAAGAGGCACCTCACTCCTCCAACTAGAAAAACGGCTGAGAGCAAAAGGCTTTTGCATTTTTGAATTAGTAGCATCTCCTTAAAAAAATACAAAGCAAAGCACAGTTTATATTTTCTATGCCACAAAGAATGTTAGAATATGTGCACATATATTTTTCTGAGAGCAGGTAATAACATTCTTCATATTTTCAAAGATATTCATGTCTAAAATTGCTGAAGAATTACTGAATTGAGGTCCCAAAAACAATAAGAAGGAAGAAGGGATGGAATTGAAGGTCAATGATGAGAGGAATTAAATGTCAGGAAGCATAAAACAGAAAGGGGACAAAAGACCATTGGAGGCCCTTGGCCTGGAATTGGACTCACTCTCATGGGTTAGCTGTCAGCCAAATAGATAAGCCATGAGCTGACCAACTATACCAGGGAGATACGCTCCTTAGAAGAGTCAATCATGGGAGATCAGAAAGGTAGCATTTGCACAGGGAGAAAGCTATGCTCACAGGAATGCATAGGTAAGGACACAGGAAAGGGTTAACCACAGGGAGGAAGTGGGAGGACAGCTGTTAATAATATGGGGATTATAATCAGTGTCACAAAACAAAATGTGTATGAACTGTTGAGTGTAAAATGAATCTGCTTTGTAAAATTGCACAAAAATCTGCACCCAAATCACAATAAAAAGTTTAAAAAAAAAAAAGAGGACTGTGGGAGCAGGTCAATTGCCTTTTGCTTGGTGACCAGAGACTAGTGGAAGGAGAGACACACTTAGAATGGCTCTTACTTATAGCTTGGTATTACAACTTGTAAGTGTCAGGGTCTGACCTGGTGTCAATGCTGATGGAAACTGCCACTGTGTTTGAGGAGAGACTGGTAGGGAGAGTTTGTTGGGGGTGAGGACTCAAGATAGTCCAAGGTGTGCTGTGGTTCTGGGAGAGGCTCTATTCTGGGTAAGAGCTATCTCTGGTGATGCATAACATGATACTACACACACACAGGCATATACAGAGACACTGCCATTTTGTCCAGTGAATAACCTCCGGGCATGAAACTGTTTTCTATGTAGACTGAAATCTGAGAGCTCTGGTAGCATAGCGGCTAAGGCACTTGACTGCTAACCATAAGCCTGGCAGTTCAAACCTACCAGACACTCCTCAGAAGGAAGGTTGGGCAATCTACTTCCGTAGTGATACCGCCTCAGAAACCCAAGGAGGGGTCGCTATGAGTCAGGTCTGACTCAACAGCAAATAACAACAACAGACCGAAATCCAGATAAATATCTTCAAAATAAAGAATTAAAACATAAGCCTAGGCTAGGATAAACTTGGATGGCATGTCAACCATATATGTATCTCCCTTTGCCACTGAGTTGATTCTTACTTCTAGCAAGCTTATATGACAGAGAGGAACTGCTGCCCAATAGGGTTTCCAAGGCTGTAATCTTTACAGAAGTAGACTGACACATACTTCTCCTGTGGAGCAGCTGTTGGGTTCGAACTGCCAACCTTTCCATTAGCAGTCAAACACTTAACCACTGTGCCGCCAGGGCTCCGTATGTCAACCACGCTCTTGTAACAAGAATGCTGATATCCAGAGCATTCCTTTACTGCTCTGGATATTTACATTGTGCATTCATGGGGAAACGTTGAGTTCTATGAACAGCATTATATCAATTGAGTCTTTTTAAAAATGTTTTTCTCTGTGTTTTCTCCAACTTTAGAAAGCATTTGCCTGTGCAGAGGTGGATGACGGCCAAGAAGGAAATGACTGCTTGTTGATCTACGATAATGAAGGAATGGAAGAACCAGGTTCTCCTGTGGGCTCCCTGGGTTGTTGCAGTTTCATTGCCGAAGATATGGATGACAGCTTCTTGGACTCATTAGGCCCTAAATTTAAAAAGCTTGCAGAGATAAGCCTAGGTGTTGATGATGAAACCAAACAATCTCAGCTACTCACCAAAGAAAGTGGTTTTGAGATTGCCTCTTGTGGCCAACTCATAGAAAGCCAGCAGTCAGGATGTGTCAGGGGCCAGACTTTGCAAGGCAGTCAAGAAGTTTCTGCTTTGTCTTCTTCTGGGTCTGGCCTCCAACCAGCCATTCCTATCCCTGACCCTGTGCAGCGCGGTAACTATATGGTAACCGAGACTTACTCAGCATCAACTTCTGGTTCCTTCGTGCAACCTTCCACTGCAGTCTTTGATCCAGTTCTCACACAAAATGTAATAGTGACAGAAAGAGTAATCTGTCCCGTTGCTAGTGTTTCTAGCAATCTACAGGGTCCGACGGAGTTACGAGGGTCTTGTAAAATGATCTGTACAGAAGACCCTTGTTCTCGTTTGATATGCCCAGAATGAGCTGGCATAGCATGCTGGCTAAGTCTGGGTATTTGGATCAGATTATGCAAAGTAGCATATCCAAGCTCACTGTAGTGTTATTATAATTTGGCACTTATGGGCTATTTTCATAAACTGATCATAATGATACCTTAAATTTTCTAGTTCATACTCCAAAACAGGATGTGTTGTCACTGTTAATTCTCAAATACAACTCAAATTGTAGTAAATCTACATGCTTTTCAAAAAATATTAGGATCATATTGGGTGGAAAAATTTCCTAAATATTATTATACTTCTGTTTTTGTGGGTTAGTGGGTTAAGTAATCAGAGTCAAGAGCCCTGGTTGTTGTCTGTCACTTTTTCTTGTATCACTAAAGTGATATAAGCATCACAAGGTAATTGCTAAAGCATTTTGAGCTGCTTGGAAAAAGGGAAGTAGTTGCAGTTGAGTTTTTTCCATCTTCTTGGTGCTGGGAGACCATAAAGATATCTTTTGTTCAAACTAACCGCTATGGGTTTTGCATTAAACTTGCTACATCTATATTCCTCATATTCTCACAGTAAGACAATTGTAAAATAGAAATATCATAGAACATTAAGGAAATTTTAACACAGTGTAAACAGTATTTTGTGGTTTTTTTAAACCACCTTTAATGGATCTATCCAAAGAAAATACTTTACTTTGAACTCCTTTTTATACCTTTCTTAGTAATTAGTCACATGTTAATAGTGTTTGAAATAGCTCCTTTTTTTTTTTTTTCAAATGTCAGGGAGAAGATATAACTTGTATATGACATACAGTGATGTTTCTTTTGTTAACAATGTCTACAGACTTTGTGGAAATACAAAACATGGCTTTTTTTTCATAAGCAAAAAGGGCTTCTGACTAGAATAACACAAAATTTGTGAATATGTATTATAAGAAGCAACTCAAGAAAATACTTGATAAAATAATTTTCATCAATAATAAAAATGAATATGGAAAAGAATTATCAGTAACCTCTATTTGTTTAACTCTCACCTCTAAAGTAAACAGTTGTAGAAATTTAATTCTTGAGGATGACAATGTTGGACTAGTGAAGGTTTGGAATATATTATTTTATGCATGCTATCACGATGGCAATGTAGTTCTTCAAGTTTTTTCTGGTCATTCAAGATATTCACCCTTTAGCCCATAGAGAACACCCTACCTCACCTGTTTGCCAACATTGTCTTAGTTTAGTCTTTGCAAGGTCATTGCCCAATTCCATTATCCCTAATTGAATATAAAATACAAAGTTCCAATTTTTCCTGTTCATACTTTGCCATATTCAAAACCTCTATTTGTTTTTGCAGATGAAATGTAAAGCACTAATGCTTGTTGGTTGACTTAGAAAGGTACAGTCCTGAGGATACTAGGAGTCCCTAGATTCCCCTACCTCTAGTATTCGTCCCTCTCCCTGCCACCATGACTACCAGGAAGGCAAGTGCTGGGACAGCCTGAGAAGCAGCAGTCGGTCTGTTCCCCCACAGACGAGGCTGTGGTGTGGAGAAAGCCCATCCCGAGATGAAAGGAGCTAGAATGTGATGGAGGAGCCTGCTGAGCCCTGAGGAAATCCATTGCTAATACCCACTGGTGCCTCTTGCTTCCCAGTGGAAGCTCGGTCTGGGATCTAGAGCACAAACAGTTGATTTGTTGCCTCTGTTTATACACAGGGGCTCTGTTTATACACAGCAACCCTTACTCAAAGTTCAAAAGTCTATTCAGAATCTTCAAAGCATTTTCATTTTGCATCTTAAAATCCAATTTATCATGAAATGGGAATAAAAACGTACTAAGTAGAAAAATCTTTTTAAACTTTTTACTTGATGTATTGTAAGTTTTTACTTGACATATTATGAATTTTAAACAATATATTAAATTTTTTTAAATATAACATTGTCATAATAAAATTGTCTGGAAACAAATCTATGAGTGATTTCTTAACATTTAGTAAAATGAACTACTTTATAATTCAGAGTTAATGAGAAATATGATATAAGAAAGTGACTGACATACACATTTTTTTATCAGCATTTTACATGTTCTTCTAGCTGGTGCCATTTCTGCATCCTCACAGATGGAAGGAAGTATCTGGGATTCAGAATCTCTTCAGGTGGAGACAGTGCCAGGTCATGGTGCTGGGGAAGGTCAGGGCAGGAAGACTTCTACTGAGTACAGGTAGTCCCAGGGTTATGAAAAAGATCCGTTCCTAATTGTATCTTTAAGAATTTGTAGGTAAGTCAAACCACATCCATATGGTTCTTATTTAGCCTTGCTTTAGCTCTGGTGGTGTAGTGGTTCAAGCACTCAGCTGCTATCCAAAAGGTCAGTGATTCAAAACCACCAGCTGCTGCATGGGACAAGGATGAGGCAGTCTGCATCTATAAAGATTTACAGCCCTGAAATCTTATGGATGCAGTTCTACTCTGCCCTATGGGGTTGCTGAGTCAGAATCAACTTGGTGGCAGTGGGTTTGGTTTTTAGTGCATGAAAAGGCTCAAAAGCCTTTTCAAAGATTTAAAAGCTGCACATGCAGTAAATGAAAGTAATTGTGATGAATAATTTGTTGTGAGTAATGGTTGTTTCAATTTGTCAAAGTGAGGGCAAATTTACAACATGTTAAAGGGCAAGTAGCAGTTGTCCGTAAGTCAGAAGTTCATAACCCCAGGGACTACCTGCATTTTAAATCATTTATTGTTTGTTTGATAATTTGGGATGATTTCTCATGCAAAAGTTCTGACATTCTAAGATGAATCAAAGAGAAGAGTTGCAGTAAAGAGAAGTTAATGTTTCCCAGCCAAACAAGACACAAGAAATGTACTATGACTCTGGTGAAAACCATCAGCCCAGCCATGAGCTTGCCTCTCAGTAAATGTCTGTGCATATATATCTCACTTTAAAGGGATGCCACAAAATACCTCCGTTCAGAACTTCAGATTTCACTTCTGGCAGACTTTCCCCATCGTTGAAGGTGGACAATGAGGCTTGTCTCCAGGGCATGGGAAGAAAAAACTGGACTAGAGTGGATGTTGAATGGAGAAGAATGGTGACTGGCTTTACTTGGATGCTCCAAATCAATTCCAGAAAAAAATGAAAGTCATGTAGGTAAATTCAAACTATTACCAGCTTCTTCTGTTCATCAGAAGTGCAAGGGCTGAAAACAACAAAATCAATTTGTTCAATTCTGGGGATCTTCAAAAATCAGATAAGAGTGTAAAAGGAACACATCTCACTCGATAGCTTGAATGCAGTTGTAATTGTAACTGATTGCCACTGAGTCAATACCTACTTATGGTGACCCATGTCTGCAGAGAAGAACTGCTTTGTAGGGTGTTCAAGCCTGAGACCTACCTCTCAGAAGCAGACCACATTTACTGGGTCTACAAAGAGTCATTCTGAATGGAGATTATATGATTTATCACTTGTTCAACAACTGTTGTCTCTTGTAGTTTTATGGATAGGGAATAACTGATAAGGAAAGAGCACAAACAATCATTTAAATTCCAGGTGCCAGAAATGACACGCTTTCCATGAACAATACTGAAACTGCCTCTGCTTTGCTGAACTAGAGTGTGCTGAGAGTTGTCCATGCATGGTCAAGACAGCAGCCATCCTCTGGTTAGTGTTTTTACTTCTTCTTTCCTTTATAGATTGACTTTTTTTTTCCATAAATGCAAAACAGCTACCAAAAAAAAATTTAGACACAACAGAATGATGATCTAAAATAACAAATGCCAGTGGATACAGTTGCCTGAGCAGAAAGAAAGAAGACATCAGGGAGCCCTAAGTGGCCAGGAGAGCTATTAGCTAAATATTCTAATTTAATTCTTACAGCAATCCTCAGATTACTTAGAATCCTACGAAAACTGAGACTCAGAGAAGCAAAGTACCTTCACACAATGCAGTGGCACAAATGTGAAAGTTTATTTACAGTTATCCAGAAATCATTATTATTATTCTCTCAGAAAATCTGTCCATTTTCAGCTCCAAAACTTAATTTAAGAACAGGAAAAGATTAGAAAGCGAACAATGAAAATTGTAGAGTATTAGAAATCTAGACATAATTTAAAAATTAAAGAAGCAGTAATATGTAGACAAAATTTACATATACATATACACAGAAAGAAACTTACACACCTAGGTATCTCAGATAGGTAGATAGAGAATGCTGCTTTTATGAAGTATGTGTGAGGTCATTTTTCAGGAGACAGATTTAATAAATACAAGAGACAAGAGTTTATATTGCAGAGCACATTCCACTCACTAGTTTCAATGCAGTTGTTGTAATTGACATTAGCTGCCACTGAGTCAATTCCCACTAATGCCGACCCATGTTTGCAGAGTGGAACTGCTCCCTAGGGTTTTCAAGACTGGGACCTCTCAGAGCAGGTCACCAGGCCCATCTTCCAAGGTGCCTCCAAGGGTGAGTTCGAAAAATCTTTCCTCCTTGTTTTTGGCAATTTAGCATTTTCTCAATTCCTTTACTGGGTCTACAAAAAGTCATTCTGAACCAGAGATTATATGATTTAAGTATTTAAGCTGAATTTTAATTACGATTTCTACACCAAAGGATGTTATAAGCAGTGGAACAAGTAATCTGAAAACTAAAGTAACTCCTTAAGAATTACTTTGATAGCACACTATTCAGAAGCAGTTATGTGAAATTTGTCTTGATATTAAAATGATAATCTTAAATGAGTCTTATCAGCTCTGCATTTCCATTTGTGGGGGGAAAAAATTTCAACAACTACAACAATTTTTTACTCTTTAAAGTCACTCTGTTATTCCCATGAAGTACAAAAAAAAAGAAAGAAAGAAAAAAACCACCGCACTGTCTATTACAACTCATAGCAACTCCTCCTTGGGATTCTGAAGCGGTATCTCTATGGAAGTAGATTGCCCAGTCTGCCTTCCGAGGAGTGGCTGGTGGGTTTGAACCACCAGCTTTCTGGTTAGCAGTCAAATGTCTTAGGCACTACACCACCAGAGTTCCCAT